AGGTCCTCATAAAGTTCATTTGGAAAAAATATTTGGGTGCTTCGAGGCGCCCGATCCATGGGCTAATACACACAAAAAAACTAAGACATTTGTGTAAGTCCTAAAAAATGGCTTGTAAATGCAAAAATATGCGTTAAAAATGGTGTGAGTATACGTGATGGTTTCCCAACTCATTATGGAGGTCCTCATAAAGTTTTTTCATAAAAAAATTATTGGTGCTCACAGGCGCCAGATCCATGAGCTAATACACACGAAAAATCAAAGAATTTGCATAATTCCTTAAAATGGCCTATAAATACGAAAATATTCGTTCGAAATGGTGTGAGTATACGTGATAGTTCCCGAACTCATTACGGAGGTCCTCACAAAGTTTTTTCAGAAAATAATTTTGGTTTTGCAAGGTTCCAGATCCATGACTATTACACACGAAAAACCAAGAAATTTGTGTCATTCCAAACAAAATACCTATAAATGCAAAAATATGATTTAAAAATGGTGTGAGTATACGTTATGGTTCCCCAACTCATTACGAATGTCCTCATAATGTTTTGGGTGCTCTGAGGCGTCGAATCTATGGGCAAAATCACACGAAAAATTCTAGATTTTGCGTAATTCCTAAAAAAATGTCCTCATAAATATTTTTGAGAAAAACATTTTGGCGTTGCGGGGCGCTAGATCCATGGTCTATAACACACGAAAACTTGAGCAATTTGGGTAATTCCTAAAAAAGGACATGTAAATGTGGAAATGGGCGTAAACAATGATGTGAGTATAAGTGGTGGTTCTCCAATTCATTTTTTTACGAAAAAATATTTGAGTGATTTGGACCCCAGATCCATGGACTATAACACATGAATAATATAAATTTTCGAGTAATTCCTAAAAAGGGACCTTTAAATGAGAAAATGGGCGTGAAAAAAATAGTGTGAGTATATGTCGTGGTTGCCTAACTAGTTACTGAGGTTCTCATAAAGTTTTTTCAGAAAAAAATCTGGGTTCTCCAGGGCGCTAGATCCATGTGCTAAAACTCATGAAAAACGAGAAATTTGGGTAATTTCTAAAAATGGCCAGTAAATGCGGAAATGCACGTGAAAAAAATGGTGTGAGTATACGAGGTGGTTCCCCAACTCATTACGAGGGTCCTAATATAGTTTTTTGAGAAAAAAAAATTGGGAGCTCTGGGGCGCCAAAACCATGGGCTATTCCACACGACAAATAAAGGAATTTGGGTAATTCATAAAAAAAGACATATAAATATGGAAATGGTGTGAGTATACATGGTGGTTCCCCAACTCATTACAGAGGTCCTCATTAATTTTTTTGAGAAAAAAAATTTAGGGTGCTCTGGGCACCAGATTCATGGCTATAACACACGAAAATATTGAGGATTTGGGTAATTCTTAAAAAAGGGCTTGTAAATGTAGAAATGGGCGTGAAAAAATGATATGAGTATACGTGGTAGTTCCCCAAATCATTAAGGAGGTCCTCATAAAGTTTTTTTAAGAAAAAATATATTGGGTGCTCCAGGGTGCCAGATCCATGGGCTATACCTCACGAAAAATAGAGAAATTTGGGTTATTCCTTAAAAAGGGCATGTAAATACAGAAATCAGCATTAAAAAACATGGTGTGAGTATACGTGGTGGTTCCCTAACTCATTACAGATGTCCTCATAATGTTTTTTTGAGAAAAAAAATTTGGGTGCAACGGGGCGCCAGCACCATGGGCTATACCACACGAAAAATAGAGGAATTTGGGTAATTTCTAAAAAAGGACGTATAAATGCAGAAATGGTGTGAGTATACGTGGTGGTTCCCCAACTCATTACAGAGGTCCTTATAAATTTTTTTGAGAAAAAAATTTAGGGTGCTCTAGGGTACCAGATCCATGGGCTATAACACACGAAAAAATTGAGGAATTTGGGTATTTCCTAAAAAAGGGCCTGTAAATATAGAAATGGGCGTGAAAAAATGGTCTGAGTATACGTGGTTGTTCCCCAACTCATTACGGAGGTCCTCATAAAAAAAATTACGAAATTTTTTTTGGGTGCTCCGGGGCGACAGATCCATGGGCTATACCTCACGAAAAATAGAGGAATCTGGGTTATTCCTAAAAAAGAGCTTGTAAAGGCGGAAATGAGTGTGAAAAAAATAATGTGAGTATACGTGGTGGTTCCACAACTCATTACAGAAGGCCTCATAAAGTTTTTTTGAGAAAAATATTATGGGTGCTCTGGAGCGCCAAATCCATGAGCTTTAAACGCACGAAAAATAGAGAATTTGGTGATTCCTAAAAAAGCTTGTAAATGCGAAAATGGACGTGAAAAAAATGGTGTGACTATACGTGGTAGTTTCCCAACTCATTACGGAGGTCTTCATAAAGTTTTTGAGAAAAAAATTGGGTGCTCCGGGGCGCAAGATCATTGGGTTGTACCACAAGAAAAATAGAGGAATTTGGGTAATTCCTAAAAAAAGGCCTATAAATGCAGAAATGGGTGTGAAAAAAATAGTGTGAGTAAACTTGGTGGTTCCGCAACTCATTACGGTAGTCCTCATAAAGATTTTTGAGAAAAAAAATTGGATGCTCTGGAGGGCCAGATCCATTGTCTAACACACGAAAAATTGAGGAATTTGGGTAATTTCTAAAAAAGGGCATGTAAATGCGGAAATGGATGTGAAAAAAATGGTTTGATTATACGTGGTGATTCCCTAACTCATTACGGATGTCCTCTATAAATTTTTGTCAGAAATTTTTTTTGAGTGCTTTGGGGCGCCTGATCCATGAGCTATAACACACGAAAAATAAAGAAATTCTGGTAATTCCTAAAAATGGCCTGCAAATGCAGAAATAGGAGTGAAAAAAAAGGTGTGAGTATGTGTAGTGGATTCCCAACTCATTACGGAGGTCCTCATAAAGTTTTTTGAGAAAAAAAAATTGGGTGCTCTAGGACGCCAAATCCATGGGCTATAACACAAGAAAAATTGAGGAATTTGGGTAATTCCTAAAAAAGGACATGTAAATAAGGAAATGGGAGTTAATAATGGTGTGAGTATACGTTGTGGTTTCGCAACTCATTAGAGAGGTTCTCATAAAGTTTTGTGAGAAAAAAAAATTGGCGCTCAGGGGCGTCAGATCCATGGGTTATAACACACGAAAAATAGAGGAATTTGGGTAATTCCTAAACAAGGGAATGTAAATGCGGAAATGGGAGTGAAAAAAGTGGTGTGAGTATACGTGCTGGTTCCCCAACTTATTATGGAGGTCCTCATAATGTTTTTGAGAAAAAAAAATTGGGTGCTCTAGGACGCCAAATCCATGGGCTATAACACAGCTCTGGGGCGCTAGATCCATGGGTTATAACACACGAAAAATAGAGGAATTTGGGTAATTCCTAAACAAGGGAATGTAAATGCGGAAATGGGAGTGAAAAAAGTGGTGTGAGTATACGTGCTGGTTCCCCAACTTATTATGGAGGTCCTCATAATGTTTTTGAGAAAAAAAAATTGGGTGCTCTAGGACGCCAAATCCATGGGCTACACACGAAAAATAGAAGAATTTGGTAATTCCTAAAAAATGGCCTGTGAATGCGAAAATGGGCGTAAAAAATAGTGTGAGTATACGTGGTGGTTCCCCAACTCATTACGGAAGTCCTCATAACGTTTTTTGAGGGAAAAAATGGGTGCTCCGGGACGCCAGATCCATGGGCTATAACACACGAAAAATTGAGAATTGGGTAATTCCTAAAAATGGTAAAAAATGACTTGTAAATGTGAAAATATGTAGTAAAATAATGGTGTGAGTATACTTGATGGTTCTTCAACTCATTATGGAGGTCCTCATAAAGTGTTTTTTCAGAAAAAAATTTGGATGCTCCTAGGCGCCAGATCCATGGGCTAATACACATGAATAACCAAGAAAATTGCGTAGGTCTTAAAAATAGCCTGTGAATGCAAAAATATGCGTTAAAAATGGTGAGTATACATGATGGTTCCTCAACTCATTATGGAGGTCCTCATAAAAAATTTAGAAAAAAATTGGGTGCTTCGAGGCACTAGATCCATGAGCTAATACACACGAAAAATCAAGAAATTTGTGTAATTCCTAAGATGGGCATGTATATACGAAAATATGCGTTAAAAATGATGTGAGTATACGTGATGGTTCCCCAAATAATTACAATGGTCCTCATAAAGTTTTTTCATATAAAAATTTGTGTTTTAGTTTATTTCAATATGTTTTTTTTTACAATTCTTTAATTCTAATTTTTCACATGACATATTTTGAGACCACAAAATTAAAGGACATATTGACATATTTTATGTATTTTTAGTTTGATCGTAAGAATAAAAAAAACTTTTAAATTTTTTAAAACTTCGTGTCAAGTTAAAATCAATAACATTAAAACTGTTAAAGTAACGTATGTGTAAAATTAGGGATACTTGCTGCATAGATGAACAAATGACAGATAATCTCTTATTTTTAAGATAGGTTTAAAATAGACATTTAAATTAGGAGTTGATATAGTTTAGACAAAATCGAAATCCTAATTTTTTTAAATATTTGATTTACATTTTGAAATCAAGTATTTTCAAATTTTGTCCAAAATTTTGGAGTTTTATATCTTATCTTACTCATTAGAGTTTTTATATAAATATATACTAGACACAAGTGCTCGTGCTAGCATGGGCCCAAAATCTGTTATTTTTTTTGTTTCACTTTATGGCGACATAGATAAAATTTAGAGAGTTGATTAAATTTATTATGATTTTTAAATATTTTAAGTTGTTAATTATTATAGTACTTTTACGTAATTTTTAAATAAATATATGTTACTTTCCTTGTCCCAATATATGTAGCACAAATAGGATTTCATAAGTCAATATGTTGTTAATTATTGAGATTTACAATACTTTTTACGTAGTTTTCAAATTAAATAATACATTTTAGTCCTTTCTTCCTCTCCTTCTCCCTACTTCTTGATGAGCTCCTTTCTTTCTCAAGATCACAAGAAGTACGTTAGTCCGTGAAGATAACAACAAAACTAAAATATATAAACAAAATCTAAGCATGGAAAACCATCTCTTGTTTTTCAGGTGTAGGGCCAGCAGAGGACGAAGAGCCAGACTTAGTAGGCCAGTGTTTAGGAGACTTTGAGCTGATTGGTGATCTCAATGGATTGTTTACTTCAGTGTCTGAGGGACTGTATGACACATTATATATATATCCACAGGGGACTCACAAGTTGCTTTTACGGAACTGGCGTTGTCCATCTCAGCTATCATTGTCATGGATGTTTATGCTAGAGGTTGTCGATTCTTCCCGAAAGCCCTCCCCTTTTGAACTTCTATCGATGTACGAAGACCCCATAAACTTCGTCTGAGGACGCAAAGAGTTCAACTGTTTCCCGAGAAGAAATATGGTTTCTTGACACTCAGCTAGCTTCTCTGCTGCAGCTGTTAAATCTTTCTCCTGGAGAATAAAAAACAGATTGTCTTCTTTAGACACTCACTTTAGATAGAAACGGAGTCATTAAGTTATCAAAAGGATCTTAACACCAAATCAAAAGATTGCGAACCAGAGAAATTAGGAACTTCGTAGTGTA